ATATTATATTATATTATATTATATTAATATTATATTATATTATATTATATTATATTATATTATATTATATTATATATACTTACAAGGAAGCCACAGATATCTTTCTGCAATATACTTTAAAACTTGTACTACATGAGAAGTTGAGTTCATTCGCTGAAGTCTACCTCCAAGTTGTTTGTCGATTGCTTCTGCTATTAATTTTAAACAAGGCAGCTCTGTTGGCTGCACTATCTTCATCTGCATGCATCAAAGGAGACACCTTGCAGCAATAAAAGGAGACACTTTGTTTTAATAAAGCAGACTTCCTGCAGCAATAGAGGTGGAGACACTTTGCAGCAATAAAAGGAGACACTAAACAGCAATAAAAGGAGACATTTTGTTATAATAACGGAGACACTTTGCAGTAATAGAGGTGGAGACACTTTGCTGCAATAAAAGGAGACACTTTGCAGCAATCAAAGGAGACACTCTGCAGTTATAAAGGAGTCACATTGTTGTAATAAAGGAGACACTTTCTAACAACCAAAGGAGACACTTGTAGCAGTAAAGGAGACTTTTGCAGTGATAGAAGAGACACTGTCTAATGACCAAAGGAGACACTTCGCAGCAATCAAAGGAGACACTTTGTAGCAGTAAAGGTGAGACTTCGCAGCAATAGAGGAGACACATGGTTGCGGTAAAGGAGACACTTTGTTGTTATAAATGAGCCGCTTTGCAGAGACAAAGGAGAGGAGACACTTTGCAGCAATAAAGGAGAGGAGAGGAGACGCCTCGCAGTAATAAAGGAGACACCTTGCGATAATAAAGGGAGACACTTTATAGCATTAAAGGAGACACTTTGCAGCAGCGAGAGAAAATGAAATAGAAGAAGACAGAAGGAGACAGGAGAGACAAGAAGGAGACAGTGAGAGAGAGAGAGAAGTAGAAAAGGAGACAGTTGTAGACAAACCTCTCGTATGGCTGCTCCGTCGACAATAATTTCTAGCTCAGTCTCTTGTGCATATCTCTGTTCAATAATTTGTAGATCTAGAAGGGTTTTCATGATGAGGTGTATCTGCAGCTGTTGCTGTTGGGCTCCTTGTGCTTTAGCAATAAGAGCAAGAATGTCTCTAATTTCAAAGTCTTTCTCAATTCTATATCTTTGAAGTGTCTTCATAAGTTGATTAGCTGTCTTAGGAGGCCCCGTAAGTAATGCCTCATGATTAATAGGGTGTATATCCACCTTATTAAGCTCAAGACTGCTATTTAATAAACGAGAAGCTTTTGCAGAGACCTTCTGAGGAAGAACATTGTCAAAAAAATCTTGAACGCCGCTTCGTACATTCATTGAGTCAAACATCTGTGCATGCACTATGCGAAATTGTCGGGTTAATTCTTGATAAAACTCTACTTGCATTACTTTCAATAATGTCACAAATCTATCCTCCTAAACAAACAAACAAACAAACAAACAAACAAGCAGTCTTTGTTTTAATTAAGTAAATTAAATTTACTAATGAATTAGTGAACTCATGAAGTAATTAAATTAATTAATTAATTAATTAATTAATTAATTAATATATATATATATATATACTTATTTACCTCTTTAGTTTATTAATTAACTATTTATAAATAATCAGTTAATTAAATAGTAAGAGACAAAAGAGAGAGAGAGAGAGACAAAAAAGGAGAGAGAAGAGACAGAAGATAAAGAAGAGAAAGGAGACAGCATAATGTAGAAAAAGGGGACAGGAGACAGCATAAAGTAAACAAAGGAGACAGAAAAAGAGACAGTAAAATTAACGTGATAATAAAGTTTTACTTTTCTGTTTCTATCTATATCCTCTGCACCTACACCTCCTGAACCAGTAGCAATAGAAGAAGCATATCTAGATATACGCATGCTCGAAGCAGCAAGCCCTAATGGTGCTTCTCTTCCAAAGACAGGAGACAGCAGCAACAAATGTGTCTCCAGTGTCTTTGCTGCTAAATAGGGGACAGAAGATATCAACTCGTCTACGGCGCTGCAAACCGCAAACAAACAAAGACAGGAAAATATATGTATAAAAACGCATGCAAATAAATAAATAAATAAATAAATAATTAAATAATTAAATAAACAAATAGATTAGTTAATTAATTCATTCATTAATCGTCAAACGAAAAACATAGACGACTAGAAATGCAAATAAGCAGACAAACAAATAAACAAAAGACATACAACTAAATAAAAAGATAAACAATCAAATAAACAAATATTCAGAAAACTAAATAAACAAATAAAAAAGAAACTGCTGGTGGCGGAGTTGTTACTGCAGCAGCAACACTAACAGCAGCAGCAGCACTAACAGCAGCAGCGGCATGTGCAGCAGCAGGAGCAGTACTAGCAGCGGAAGCCGCAGCAGGAGCAATAATAGCAGCAGCAGAAGAACTACCAGTTGTAGCAGCAGCACCAGCAGTAGTAGCAGCAGCAGCAGCAGAAACAGCAGCAGGAGCAAGTGCAGCAGCAGCAGCAGGAGCAAGTGCAGCAGCAGCAGCAAGTGCAGCAGCAGCAGCGGGGAGGCTTACGGTCCCCTATTTTCTTGAGTGACGTAGTTGTAGATAAACTGAAGTTTTCTCGCGTTTAGTTTTGTTTTTAATTCATATTCAATTCTGTCTTCTTCTGTATTAGCCATTGTCTTTTGCTCTTCTCCTTCATCGTCTGCCTCCTGCATAAAAGAAAGCCCCAAAAATATATGCATGCATGCGGAGACACCTCAGCAGCACCAGCAGCAGAAGCACCTCACACAGCAGCAGGAAGCTTGCGTAGGGGTAGCAGCAGCTGCTGCAGCAGCACTTGAAAACGGGGTTTGCGTCAGCAGCAGTGTTGGTGCTGCAGCATAGGTATTTCTAGCACTATTTAAAGCAGCAGCAGCATGAGCAGCATAAGCAGCAGAAGCAGCATAAGCAGCATTGGTCGTGTAGAGCAGCAACAGCCTTCGCGATGGAGCGTATGAAACAGCAGCAGCATCCTAAACATCAGATATAGCAGCAGCAGCAACAACAACAGCAGCAGCAGCAATAGCAGCAGCAGCAGCAACAACAACAGCAGCAGCAATAGCAGCAGCAGCAACAACAACAGCAGCAGCAATAGCAGCAGCAGCAGCAGCAACAGCAGCAGCAGCAGAGGTGTGTGTTGCATGCATGCATGGAGGTACATTGGGCATATCTTCTTCTTCTTCTTCAGATGTCTCCTCTGTATCAGAGGGTTCGCTGGCTGATAGCTCAATGCTTTCATCGCTCATTCTATCAAACTCCTCCATGTCTATCTCTTCTGCTTCTCCTTGTCGCAGTGTAGGGTAAAGCAATTCATAGTCTCTGTCTAAATCCCCTGTTCATCACAAACAAATAAACCCTAAACCCTAAACCCTAAACCCTAAACAAATAGAAGCAATATACATTGCATCAGTACATTCATATTCATCAACAAACAGATACTCATCCTCCTCCTCTTCCTCATGCTGCTGCTTATGCTGCTGCTGCTGCTGCAGGTGGTTCAGCAGCAGCAGCTTCTGTTGCTGGTGGTATTGCAGCAGCAGCTGCTGCATCTGGTGCAGCTACAGCTACTGCATCTGCTGCAACTACAGCTACTGCACCTGCTGCAGCAACTGCTGCTGCATCTGCTTCAGGAGCGGCTGCAACAGCAGCAGCAACAACTGCTGCTGCTGCTGCTGCTGTATAAAGACTAACCTGATTGAAGGCTATATATCTTAGCGAGGTCTGGTAAAGAAATTCCGACCGCTGGGTCTATGTTGGTGTTCACCGCTTCGTTGTAATATTCGCAGAGCTGCTCCCACTGACTCTGCACACAAACCCTAAACCCTAAACCCTAAACCCTAAACCCTAAACCCTAAACCCTAAACTCTAAACCTTAGGTGCTGGGAAACCCCACACCCTAACCACTAAAACCTAGGTGCTGGGAAACACTAAACCCTAAACCCTTATGGAGCCATGCATGAAAAGAAAGAGGAGAAGGTAGAAAGAAGAGAGAAGATATGAAACAAGAGACAGGAGACAGAAGGAGGCAGGACACAGGAGACAGAAGGAGACAGAAGACAGAAGGAGACAGGAGAGAGGAGGAGACAGGAGACAGAAGAAACAACACAAAAGAAAAGAGGCCAGAGACAGAAGAAGTAACATAAGAGACAGGAGGCAGAAGGAGACAGGAGGCGAATGGAGACAGTAGACCAGCGAAGACAGAAGAGAGTACACTGAATACAGCAGGAGACAGAAGGAGACAGAAGCAGACAGAAGACAGAAGGAGACAGAAGGCAGAAGGAGACAGCAGGAGACAAAAGGAGACAGAAGGAGACAGAGGGAGACAAAAGGAGACAGAAGGAGACAGAGGGAGACAAAAGGAGACAGAAGGAGACGGAAGGAGACAAAAGGAGACAGTATTTTGTTGTGTACGTACTGGGTCTGCATCGCTTCCTTTGACTCTATGAAGCAGAGCATAGTAATTTTTTGCAGAGAGTTTATCTTTATGTTCGTCAACAAACTTTGAAAATATTAACTGCACTTTGAGCATCTCATCTAACTCCTCTGCTGGAGGGTATTTAGGGACGGCTATTATAGCTTGATTATATGAAGTGTTTGGAGTAGGAGATATATCTACTTTGTATCTACACAAACAAACAAACACAACAAACAAATTCAAAGCCATACATCCATCAAACGCATGCATTCGCCAAATGCATGCATGCAAATGCATGCATGCAAATGCATGCAAATGTATGTAAATGCATGCAAATGCATGTATGCAAGTGTTTGCAAGTGCATGCAAATACACGCAGATGCATGCTTGGATTTGCATGCATGCAAGCATGCATGCATTTGCATGGGTCTGTGTTTGGGGCTTTGTTTGTTTGATGTTTTGTTCGCACCCGTATCTCGGCCCGTATTTAATACCGTCTTTGAGCATCACTGCGTCCCAGCCTGTTAACATATCTTCTACTCGTTCGCTGTGTCTCTCCACCTCCGCGCATGTAGCAAATCGAGCTGCACATACACCCCAAAACCCTCAACATTAGGGTTTAGGGTTTACGGCTGCGGATGCGTGCATGCGCAGACTCCAGCAGCAGAAATAACAACAAATAACGCCAGCCCCAAGTAATAAATAATAAACATAAACAGAAAGAAAAGAAAAGAAGAGAAAAAGCAAATAAAACATAAAAAGCAAGGAGACAGAAGCGAACGGAACGCCAAACAAATGAAATAAAGAGACACAAGAGAGGAAGGCAGCGAGCAAACAAAGACATGAAAAGGAGACAGACAGACAGAGCAGAATCTGCAGCAAAACGGAGACAGAAAATACAACAAAATAAACCACAAAACCCTCAACAAACCCACTTCTATAAACAGTAGATCAAAGGAGACACAGAGAGACAGCGGCAGCAACAAGGAAAGCAGCAGCAACAAGATGAGACGGCAGCAGCAACAAGAAGAGACAGCAGCAGCATTAAAAAACGGCAAAAAAGATACAAGAGAAGCGCAGGCAACAGGAGACAGGAGACAAGAGACAGTAGACAGTAGACAAGAGACACCAGCAGAAGAAGAGGAGCAAGAAGGAGACAGTAAAAGGAGACAGTAAAAAAACAAAACAGATTACCTCCTTCAGGTAAGTTAGGAATTAAATTAAGACCCGTCGCCTTCCCATTCTCATCAATGCGAAATGCATTTTCAAATGGAGCCGCCACCTTCTCGTACACATATGTGGCCAGCTGCACCAAAAACGCATGCATGCAAACGCATGCATGCAAACGCATGCATGCAAATGTATGCATGCATGCATGCAAATGCATGCATACATGCATGCAAAGGCATGCATGCATACATGCAAAGGCATGCATGCAAACCCCTACATGCAAACCCCTGCATGCAAATGCATGCATACATGCATGCAAAGCCGTGCATGCAAATGCATGGAGGCATGCATGCAAACCCGTGCGTGCAAATGCATGCAAGCATGCATACATGCAAGCTGTGCGCACTTTTTCTTTTTTTCTTTTAATTCCTGCAGAGCCAAAGTGTTTTAAAGAACCGCCAGAATGACTTGAAAAAGAATCTGACTCTTCTTGTACATATCCCATTTGATACTCCCGCCGCATGCGCATGCGCGCCTCCTGAATCAAAGCCCCAAACATATAAACACTAAACTCATAGCTTGCATGCATGCATGCATGTATGCACGCATGCATGCATTTGCCTTGTTAGGTGATGGAAAGTCGAGTAGAGTTCTCCTAGCAAACCCTAAACCCTAAACCCTAAACCCTAAACCCTAAACCCTAAATGCTTAGAACTGAAAGCAGATGCATTTGTTGAACTTTTTATTATCTCTGCTCCGCCATTTTATTTTCCGTTGTTTTGTCGTCTCTCTTTAAGCATGAAAATAAACATGTAAGCAATAATAATAATAATAAATAAATAAATAAATAAATAATATTAATAAATAATAATAATAAAAATAATCAATCATAATAATAATAACAGTAAAAAGACAAGGAAGACTGTCACAAAAGGAAAAACTGGTAAAAACAATAGAAATATAACGAGTGCATGCAATAAAAATAATATAATAATAATTATAAATAATAATATAATAAAGTTAATATAAAAATAGCATATTGTATAAATGATTATTATAAACAATATAATATACAATAGAATAGTATAATAACAGTATATAATACACTTATTGATACATCTATTAAATACGCGCGAAGTCCCTACTCTGACCAGAATTAGGGTTTAGGGTTTAGGGTTTGAGGTGTATATACCCTGAGCTCGTCTCGTATTTTGTCTCTGTACGCCATAAGGGTTTCATCTGCTACAAGTTGTTCCTTTCCGGTGTATGTGATGTTGGTGTGGGCGAACCAATGGTCTAACGCTAGAGACAGCAGCAGCTGCATATTTTCTTCAATGTATCTGCTGACAGATTCCTGCATTAAAGAGACATAAAAGGAGACACCTAAACAAACAAACAATAAACACTAAATACCCCTTCTATTGTAAAATCCAACGTACATTCCAAGTCAAACTTCGCATGCAAGCATACAACGCAAACAATAAACCCTAAACCCTAAACCCTCGACAAACCCAGCCGTGTTTAGAGATATAACACAGACAAAGTAAACCCTAAACCATAAACCCTAAACCCTAAACCCTAGAACCAACGCGGTGCGTTTAGAGATACAACCCAAACAAAGTAAAGCCTAACCCCTAAACCATAGACGCAGATGTCTGCGTTTGCAGCTAAGACACCTAAACCCTAAACCCTAAACCTCAAACCCTAAACCCTAAAACCCTAAACCCTAAACCCTAGGCGTTTGAGGTACCCTGGATGTAACGAAGTTGTTCCAGAGGAAGTAAATGACAAAGACGACGGAGCCGAACATAGCAGCATAAGGAAGGAAAGCATCAGAATTAACTAATGCACCGAGTAGAAACCAGAGAACAAATGAAGACGCCCCCAATGTAGCAAAAAACAAAGCCATAGTCAAGAACGCTCCCCCTAAATAATCTAACTTCGCCATCAAACGAGGATGAACATCCAGTAAAAATGCGCTGAAAACAAAAACAATAAACAACCCACACACGATCCCGATCCCGGAGATGACCCCACACACGATCCCGGAGACGACCCCACAAACGATCCCGGGAACGTTCCCGGAGACGATCCCGAATTCAGTACAGCACGAGATAGGCTAACAGAGGAGACAGAAAGAGGCAAAAGGAGACAACAGGAGACAGCAGAAGACAGAAAGAAAGAGAGATACGAGGAGACAGAGAGAGTTAAGGAGACAGTAGGAGACAGAAAAAAGAGAAGGAGACAGCAGTATTACTACCCATAAGAGATCGGCTTACTTGCAGAAAGTAGCAGCTGTCATTACTACGACATGCAAAGCAGCAAGAGACAGCACAGATAACCCCCAACCCCCTATCTTTAAAAGAGACGCCCAAGAGAAGTCAAAGAAAATATCCGGTAAGAACCAAGTGTCTCCAAATGCAAGGGGATCAGCATCGATTGCCTAGCCAAACAAAAACAAAAAAAGAATGTATTATTATGTTTATAATATAATTATCATATATATATGTATACAGATATATATATATATATGCATATATACACCAATCAATAAGATAACGAAATAATACGCACAAACAAATACAAAAAAACTTAATAGCAGCCTGAGATACAGTCAAGAACAGTACCAACAAACAATTGCCCTAACAAACAAATCAAATAAATATTTAGGTAAATAAATAAATAAATAAATAAATTATTTAATTGGTTATTTAATAAATGAACAAAAAAACAAATATATAAATAAACTAGCATCAATACACAAACAAATCAACAAATAAATTTACCACTAAACAAACAAACGCATTAATCAACAAATAAGTACGTAGACAAAGAGAAGAAAGAGAAACTCAGAGACAGAAGAAGAAGATAAAAGGAGTATAATTGAGATAAAGATAAATACCAGAAGACAGACAGACAGACAGAGAGAGAGAGAGAAAGAGAGAGAGAGAGAAAACGGAGACAGTAAAAGAGACAGGGGTAGAGACAGAGAGAGACAGACACAGAGCCAGAGCGACATAGAGAGATGCAGAGACAGAAGATAACAAAAAATAAACTGTCTCCTTTTTCTACTTCTATCTGTCTATTCTTTCAGTTGTTAAAAGAAGAGACAGATAAAGACAATGCACGTCCCTCCTCTCTGTTCAGGTGTATAGGGAGACAGTAGAAGAAGAAAAGAAGATAGGAGACAGATAAAGAAGAGACACTTACTGCAAGTGCTTGGCTGTCTCTAATATAAACAAAGAGCAGCAGCAACGGGAAGCTGTAAGCGAGAGCAAGTTGAAGACAAAGGAGACAGAAGGTAATGGCGTTAGGAAGCCATATAAACTCTACTGCTCTTTTATTAAACAAAGAGACAGAAGGAGAAGAAGACGAAGAAGGAGATAAAGAAGAAGAAGGAGAAGGAGAAGAAGAAGAAGAAGAAGAGAAGAAGACTCTCGAGAGACCCCTCTTAGTCTCTCTTCCTCCGCCCCACAAACGCATGCAAACCCTTCTAACAAACTTCTCTGTCTTCTTCATTATCGCATTATTATAACATAAACCACTATTCAATAAATCAATATCTGGAGAAGACGTCCACCACTCAACGTCTTCAATCAACTCCAAATTTTCAACAATCCGCACAGCGCGAGATACTGACCTGTACACCCCACAACCCTAAACCCTAAACCCTAAACCCTAAACCCTAAACCCTAAACCCTAAACCCTGAGCACTAAGCCATAAACAATAAAACCTAAACTCTAAACCCTAAACCCTTAACCCGAAGCCAGATACTCTACACCATACGTCCTAAAATGTACACCGTAAACCCTAAACCCTAATCGATAAACCCTAAACCCTATACCCTATATATAAATGAAACCAGCCTCAGAATCATAAGCAGAGGGTAGGCCTTTCCTTCGTACGTTATCTGCATTTAGGGTTTATCAGGATCCAGAGCATATTAGGGTTTAGGGTTTAGGGTTTAGTAGTGGCCATTACTGCATTTATTATTTATTACTATTTATTATCATTTATTATTATTTTTTATTTCTTATTCTTTATTATTCTTTAATACTATTTATTATGGTTTGTTCTTATAATTATTATTGATTGTTAATTATTATATTATTTGTTATTTATTATTTATTTTTCTTATTTATTATTATTATTGTTAATTAGACTTGTCTTATTTTTTCGTCATCTCTTTTTGCTATAAGAACAACTGTATAGTATAATATATAAAATAAAATAAAACTATTTATAATTTATAATTTATAATTTATAATTTATTATTTATAATTTATTATTTATAATTTATTATTTATAATTTATTATTATTACGAATA